TGTGTGTGTGTGTGTGTGTGTGTGTGTGTGTGTGTGTGTGTGTGTGTGTGTGTGTGTGTGTGTGTGTGTGTGTGTGTGTTTGAGAGTACATTTATTAAAGCTGGGGCCAGTGAAACAAGGGCGGGCTTAGGACAGAAGCAGCAATGGGAGAGAGACTAGGCGGGGCTGCTTTGGCTCCCTAGAAACGTTAGGGAAAGAAGTGGGCCAAGGCAGAGCTACTGCCAGCCCACTGGAGTCAGAGGAAAGGGGCTTTGGGGACAGGTTCGGGGGTTAGCCCAGGAGGAACTCCTGCTGCCAACTGCTCACCTGGTTGCGAGTCTCGTAGGGCCCATTAGAGTTCAGGAGATGCACGCTTGTGGGAGAAAAGAGGGGGAAAGAAAAGGCATGGGTGTGTGCGCTCCGGGGAAAGAGAGAACTGTTTTACAATTTTTGATCCATAAGCCTACCTTTTCCAAGAGGGAAATTCTCTCAAGCATTTTTATCTCTGTATTTTAATGTAGAAATCAGTGAAGACATGTTAAGTAGTTTATTCAGTGTTACATGAATTTTGGAAGAGTTGCTGCCTGGTCTCTTGGGCCTTCGGTTTTTATTTCCCTCTTGTACTAGCCATGCTTATTCAAATTAAGATTCTTCTAAGCTTTCAAAAATATAATTAATTGGAACATTGTAGTATTGAAAAAAATGTTAAAATCACAATGTTTGTAGTTAAACCTAACTTAATGCATATAAGAATTCCAGAATTTCCTTTCTCCCCTATTGTATGTCTGTCTCACAGGTTTAAAAGAGAGATTGGAAATCAAGCCAATGAATCCCTTTTACTTCTAAAAGAGCTTCACAAACTTCACTGTTTAAATATGCTGGTATACTGAAGTCTTTGGATAGTCTTGGCTCTTTCCATTACAGAGGTCACAAAATAGCTTCACTTTCATTTGACAGTGTTGACTTGGGTGGTTTTTTTTTGTTTCTGTTTTTTTTTGGTAATAACCCTGAAATGTGTGTGTTTTGTTCATGCGAAGACCTGATTTACATACAAAGTATTGTAAAATGAAGGAAGATACACTCTTTTTCAAACTTTGGTAATAAACAACCATCATAACTTTCTTTTTTGGTGTTTAAACTTTTAAATTGAAAATATCAACATTGTAAATTATGGATACAGTAAAACCTCGATATAACGGACTAATTCAAATGAGGGAGTGTCCATTAAAGCTGAAAGTCTATTTTTTAATAAAGTAGGTTTCCTGAATGGGTGTTAAAAAATTGACAAATTGTTAGTTTACCTGTTTTTACTTATGCAGACGCATCTGTGTAATGAAAATTAAGTATGTATGAAAAGTTTATTTCACAGAAAAGTTTTCTATATGTATTACAGTAATTTTAAATTTATACTGAATATGTCTAGTAAATGCCTGCATTCACCAGTCACCACAAGTAAACAAATGCACAGGGCGGGGGCGGGGCTTAGCACATGGGGGAACATTGGCCTGCACACATTAAAACTGCTGCAGAAAGCCCACATGACAACAGAACCAGTTACCCCACTTGATGAGGTGTGATCACAAGCTAATCATTTGCTGAACATCGTTTATGAGTGGTGACTCTTGGATTTAAATATGTAGGCTATAGTTGTAGATATGTTCATTTATATCAGCAAAATTACTAGAGTGTTTTTTTTCAACATATAGCCTATTGGCCAAAATTTGTTAAAAATAATAGTGAGTTAATAACAAAAAAACCTGTTAATTATAAGCAAATCTTGGTTAAAAGCATTTTATTTATTTTTTAAATATGTTTTTATTGACTTTTTAGAGCTAGAGAAAGGGAGGTAGAGGGAGAGATAGAAACATTGATGAGATTGATCTGCTGCTTCCTGCATGCCCCCCACTGGGGATTGAGCCTACAACTTGGGTATGTGCCCTGACTGGGAATTAAACTGCTGACCTCTTGGTGCATGGAAAGACACCCAACCAACTGAGCCACACCAGCTGGGTGGTTAAAAGCATTTAAAATTACCATGGTGTTAATTTTCACACATGACATATGGACCAGAAATGTCTGTTAAATCCGAAGTCTGTTATATCGAGGTCTGCAAAATTGAGGGTTTACTGTATGTTAAGAATTCTCGGTGGTCTTTCTTGTAACATTCTTTACCCTTTGATTTCAATTCTGTTAGCCATATGGTATTTAACCTTCTTATTTAGAGTTGACGTGAATCATGTCTCAGGATCTAAAATAAGAAAACTGCGTACAATTCTCTAATGAAGCTGCTCGAAATTTCAAACATTGCATTTTTTTATTGTTAATCCTCACCAGAGGATAGTTTTTCCATTGCTTTTGAGAGAGAGAGACAGAGGGAAAGAGAAACATTAATGTGAGAGACACATCGGTTGGTTGCCTCCCACACTCACCCTGACCGGGGCCAGGGATCAAGCCTGCAACTGAGGTATGTGCCCTTAACCAAAATCGAACCCGAGACCCTCCAATCCGAGGACTGACTGATCCAAACCAGCTACGGCAATCATTTTTATTTTTAATGCTATTTGTAGATAATGTGTGCTGTAGTTGTAACCTAAATTTTCATTCTTTTAAAAGATTTTTTAATTAAAAATTTTTTAAATTACAGTTGACATTTAATGTTATGTTAGTTTCAGATGTACAGCATAGTGGTTAGACATTTATATAATTAAATTTTCATTCTTTAAGCAGATTCTTTGTAACAGATTGAGATACACATGCACATGTGCACACACAGTCACACATACATATGACTTGCTGAAAACTAAGTTTAGACTACTTGGGGTAGACTGCTGTGGAAAAGGTAGTTTTTTCTCCTACCACATGGTTACATGCAAAATACACAATCATTGTCTCTAGTGCTCCAGTGCTAGCATACACCTACCACCTTTCATTTTCTTTTATGAAAATGTTCCTCTGACTTTATTTTTTTTGCATTTTGTTGATTCTGTTATTCAATACGGTAAGTTCTCAATGTCATTGCCAATAGGTTCTGTGACTTTATTTATTTATTAATATATCTTTATTGATTTCAGAGAGAGGAAAGGAGAGGGAGAGAGATAGAAACATCAATGATGAGACAGTCATTGATTGGCTAGCCCACAACCCGGGGCATGTGCCCTGACCGGGAATCGAACCCCGATTGCCTGGATCCCAGGTGGACGCTCAGCTGCTGAGCCACGCCCAGCTGGGTGATTCTGCGACTTTAAGTGAAACAATGTATAAGGAGACCAGTTTTATCAGAGCTAATTGATGCAAACAAGAGTTAAATTCCTATTGCATCTCATTAACATAAAAAAAGACATGGGATGAAAAAAACTACATTATTTGAGGACCCATTGTAGTTTATTTTACTTAGCGCACTCTCAGTATACAGTCATATACTCTTTCAAGCCTGTTTGTGGATTCAAACAGAATGAAGAATGCAAAGCCTTCATATTTTTATGTCTTTTATAACTATTAACTTATTTATGTTTGAAAGAAAGTTCTGTATATATATTGTGGGAGCTTCTGAGTTTTACACAGGCTTTTTTATATTTTAGAGTGTGGAAGGGAGGGAGGGAGAGTGGGAGAGAGAGAAACATCATGTGAGAGAGAGACATCAATTGGCTGCCTCCCGAACCTGCTGGGACCAGGGCGGGGATTGGACCTGCAACCCAGGTAGGGAAGCCAACCAGAGACCCTCCAGTGCACAGGCTGACACGCCAGCCACTGAGCCACACTGGCCACGCCGGCCAGGGCTACAGAGGCTTTTTACAGAGGAATTTATTTTAAAGGCCATGATTTAATACTTTTGTTTCTGTTCAATCTTCCCTAATTGGCGATAATAATGATTTATACCTTAAAAGACATTTTCATACATTATTTTGTTCAACTCATAACAGCCTTAGCAGAGCTTTCAGTTCACTATTACAAACTTGACAGTGGCCCTTGTTCATAAACTGTGGCATACATCTCTGTCCGACATTCTAAGAGCAGAATTGCTGAATCAGAGGCTGCATATACACTCTTAAGGCTTTTGATATAATTTTGTCACTTCCTATTGTTTGATCCTACTAAGGCTCAGTATTTTTACTGTATTTATTCTGTTGTGAATTGCTTGCTTGAGCTTTTTTTTTTTCATTACTAAAACTATTAGGCCCATCTTTTTTTAATATCAATCTTTTGACAAATATATTACAAAAAGACACCCTCCCCCCCCAGCAGTTTGGCATTTCCCTTTTGCTTTGCTTTATTTTTTAGAGCTTTTGGCTTTTAATTTACCAGTTTTTTTTTGCACAGACATTTAAAATTTTTATTGTGAAATTTTTTTGTCTTTCTTTTATGACTCCTTTCCCCTTTTGGCTTGTATGCTTAAAAAGTTATTCTGCATCCAGTGATTAAGTAAATTGTTATTAACACTCAAATGAAATTATTAAATTTAGGGTTTTAAAAACCTTTTACTACTCCAACAAAATTTCTTATTGCTGATTATTTAAATTCAGCCTACTGTTATGAACTTATTGAAGAAATGACTCTTCCTACCCCCTTCCTTTCAAACGGGATTTCTGCTAAATTCTGCATAATAGAAGTTTGATATTAGGGAAAGTAATCTTACCTTTCGTTTGCATTGTTCAGTAAGATCCAGGGATATTTTAATTTTTCAGATGATATTTTTGCCTCAAAGTTTACATATGAAATTAAAATCAAATCAGTAGTTATAAATATCGCATACAATTCTGGCTTTATTTTGGATTTTTAATTCCTTTTTTTGGCTACTCCCTAACATAAGCACTGGTGATCTGTTTTGCAGAATCCTTGCAGCCCTTCCTGGAAGCCTGTAGCAACACTTTGTTTTTTCGGACTTGCTCTGTGCTGCTTCGAACCCCTAAGCTTGATCTGCAAATACTAGAAAAGCTCAGTATTATTCTACAGAAACTCTCTAAAATCAAGTAAGAATTTTTTATTTCTAATAATTTTTATTGAAAGATATATTTTTGTGATCATTTAGACCTTTCTGAATCCTATACTAGTTCAACTTTGATTATTAAATCAAAATTTTCAGTAAACATGTAGAAAATGCATATTAATGCTTGTCTAGGACCACATAGTGATACAGTACAATCATCGTTCTAATCTTAGACTGTCTTGTTGTTTCTGCTAAATGAACTTTAAATATCACAAACAGAGGATGTAAAACTAAGCAGTTTTTAGCAACTGGGTGGTAGTGTCAGAACAAATTATTGCACATTGGTATTCTGTACTGCCACAGTGGAAACAGAAAAGGTGGCAAAAGTGTATTTCTCAGATTCTTATTGATGCACTAAAGTTAGTTTAGGCAATGAGAAAGAAGCAAGCAGGAAAGATTTTAAATAATGCTTATTGTAGGAAACTATATGGGCTTGCTACTGCTACTTATTTAAATTTTACAATAAGAATTGGGGGCTTTCTTTTTATATTTGCTCTTATGCAAATATTGGTATAATCATTTTAAAAATTAAAGAATAAAGGGCATAGATTTTAAGGTATATTTTCTGAGAATCTTGGTATAGTCCAATTTTTATGACAGTTACATTATAGTTTGGGTTCAGCTTCTCTGCACCCTCCCTTTCCCCTCAGCCATGATTTCCATGGAGGTGAACTTAGGTGTTTTACCAGGGCTCATTATGGCTGAATAGTAAATATAATGCATCTTGAAATTGTTTGCAGATGTGTGATAGTGGGCTCATATGTCCTATTTAGTGCCTAGCACACCATACCACACCATTGTAAATTATTAGTTATCAAATTATAAGCTCATACTCAACTCACCAAATTACTGGTTTTCATCTGGTGTCAATTAAACTTACCAAATCATTGTCTTCCTTTTCTTGAAGACCAACTGTTACATGATTGTCTTGATTTACAATTGGTAAATTCTCAATAAGGCTATTACCTGTGGTACCATGAAGCTGCAATTATGTTACTTAGGTATAATTATTTCTTAAGTGTTAATTCATGGGATTTTTTAAGTAGTTCCAAAGTGCAAGTATATCCTTGGGTTAGGAACAGTTGATACTCAAGCAGTCTTAAAGTAAATCTTTAAAATCACAAAGATGTAAATTCTTTTGTATCAAGTGGATGGTTATATACAGTTATTTCATAATTTCTCTCAAGATATAAGTATATGTAGACAGGAAATAAGAAATATATAATCAGATATAATTCTGATTGATCAGGAAATTACTAACTGGTTATTAGAAAGAGGATGGTTGGAAAGATATTTTGGAGCAAAGGCAAAGGTAAACCTATTTTTTGCTACTTTGAGAAGCTCAGGATACTTGAAAGAAGGCGATCAAGAATTTGACCTTTTCCAGCGATTAGGCAGAAAGCAGTTCTCAAGTGTGTGTTAGTGGCTGGTGCAGTTTTCAGGATTATGAAACATTTCCTTTTTCCTTCAACTCTCTTTCACTGTAGGCCTGTCTTATAACCCACTTTCTTTGTCTTGGCATGTTAATGCTTAGTTACCTGTTTTCTTCACTGTTTTTAAAAACTGGTGCCATTTTTTCACATTCACACATGTTATCCCAGTGTCATTACAGATGAACTCTTTAAGTGTGTGTAATTAAATTAATGAGCTCATTCTCTTACAGGAGTAATAAGAAGTTCTTTGAACTTTTTACAATTCACCTGATGCTTCAGGAAATACAAAGGACAACACACCCAGAGCACGCCTTCCTCTGCATTAACCTCAATTCAACTCTGTTCAATTTAGGGTTAACGAAATGCAACTCCTTGGCCTCCAATGCAAGCCATTAGACTGGCTTATTATTATTTTATATATTTTATATATGTGTTGCTTATTTGTAAGGTTGCAAAAATCATCAAAGTAACTAAAAGTCTACCAAGTAAAGTTTCTAGTAGCATCATTTATCATGAAAAATAAAATAGAAAAAATTTTAACTTTAAGAATGAAATCTATAGAAGCTCTGGAATTGTTGGAATATTATAATTCAACTAAGGTAGTACTGATGTGCAAAATAGAATTTCCAGAATTAATGATGCTGGGGTTATTTTTTGTAAAACTGCTTTAGAAAAATTCTTAAAATTATGTGATTATTTGGAATAAAACTGATGTTTATGTGGGAACAGGGCTAGATCATGTTGTCATTCTGTTTTCTTAATATATTAGAAATCTCCCCTTTTGGAAAAAGTACATAATTTTTAACTACTATCTTCATATTATAACTTTTCTATATCTCTTAGATTCACAGATACTGATTTTTTTTTATTGTGCTGTCCATGGAGTACTTTAGAGAAAAAAATTTTATTTTCCAAAATAATTTAATTATTACCAAAGTGTATTTGTACAAAAAAAAATTTTACACTGAAAAAATGTCATAATCCCAACACTCAGAAATATCTCCTGATGTAGCCAAAGATGAGTGGAGTAGCCAGAAACAAAAAAATCCATTATGGGTATTTCAGAAAATAGAGTCAGTTAACAGAGCAAAAGACCAGCTCTTTCAGAACACGCAGTACCTAGAGATGCCCCAGTAAGAGTGCAGATGCCAGGTGGCAGAGCAGAGGCTGGCACTTCAGCATGGGGTATTTGATGTTTCTGAAGAAGAGACCAAGACAAGTAAAGCAGAAACATTATTCAAAGGGACAGTTGAATAATGATTTGGGGGAGGCAGGGGCTAAAGAAGGATCTGCATGTACAGATTGAGAGAGCTCATCATATTCCAGAAAAATCAGTGAGAAATGGAGTCTGTAATTAGACACATCTTATAACTTAGATACATTACAATTATAATTTAATGGTAAGTATGAAATTTTAAGGATAAAGGCAAAACCAAACAAAAATCAGTTACCTGCAAGAGAAGAAAACGAAGCTCGCCTCATACAATGCCAGAAGTTGATAAGTATCCCCTCCACTTTTGGAGAGGGAAATGTTTAATCTAAGAATTTATACCTAGTGAAGATGTCTTTCATAGGTGAAGACAGTGGAAAGAAATGTTCAGATATGCAAGTGTTTAGAAATTATACCACTTACTATTCTTGAGAAAAGTAACTACTTAGATTATTCGAACCAATTTAGAGATGAAGGAAAATTGAATTTATTACATCAAACTCATTCCAAAAGACTAGTGAACACTGAAACCACTTAAACATGAATACACTTAAATAATTGTTGTAAATCTGTTTTTAATGGAGTGGAATGTTGAATTCTTTAAAAGAATAAGTAATGGGAAAAGCAGTCATTTATTAGTAAGAACTTTGTTAAGACTATCTTAAGTGATGTTAAAAACAGGATTAAATGGGACCCTGAGATTGAGGTGAGACAGAGAAGCTAGTAAGTAAAAGTTTTCTACATTTTCATCACAAATACAGTCAGTGTGTTCCATTTCAGTATTAACTTTGCCAATTAGAAAAATGAAGGATAAAAGAATGCTTTTGGAAAATGTCAGAGTAATTACTACTAAAATTAAAAGCAAGATAAGTATTCTCAAAACGTTGAAGAAGAAAAACAAAATAAAGCCCGCTGGGCATGACTCAGTGGTTGAGCATCGACCTAGGATCCAGGAGATTGCAGTTTGATTCCCCAGTCAAGGCACATGCCTGGGTTGCAGTCTCCATCCCAGTAGGGGCCGTGCAGGAGGCAGCTGATCAATGACTCTCTCATCATTGATGTTTCTATCTCTCTCCCTCTCCCTTCCTCTCTCTGAAATCAATAAAGATATATATATATATATATGTGTGTATATATATATATATATATATGTATTTAAAAAGAAAAACAAAGTATTTACAAAGACATAGCGAAAGATAGAAAGCCAGGACCATGTGAAAAACAAAAATATTTAGGATAAATAAAAGGTTTTAAAATTATAAATTTTGTATTGTCTTGTGTTGATAAATTTGAAAATCTGGATGAAATGGACTATTTTCTAGAAAAGACATTATCAAAAGTATTTCAATAAATCCCCAATAGAAAATTATTAAAGCCTTTTATAAAATTATGTAAGAATTCTTTTGAAAAATGGCATCAAATCCAGGTGTTTTACAGATGAACTGTTTAACATTTCAAGAAGGAAATATTTAAAGCTATTTAGACTGTCCCAGAATGTTGAAAAAGCATTCTAATTTATTTTCTAGACTTAGCATGAACCCAATACCAAAAAATTGACAAAGAAAGTAAAATAAAATAGATTCTAAAGTCTTAAAGAATAGTGAACTTCCCCAGCTGGGTAGCTTAGTTGATTAGAGCTAAAGGAGCTTGTTACTACCACCAAGTATTATAAGAAATTTTAAAGGGTCTCTTTAAAAGGAAGAAAAAAAGAGAGGAACATAGGTATAAAGAATAAAATGGCAATATTGCCAGGCCATCCTTTCCATCTTCATGGGGCTGTTGCTTCCCCTGTACCTGATCTTGTCCCTGAGACCTGAAACCACACCATCATTGGATGTGTCAGCACAGCCTGGAAGCAAAGAACCTAAAACATAAATGAGAATAAGAAGAAAGAGAAGATGGCTGCAGAGTGAGTAACTGGAGGCTGCGTGTCCCTGATCCCGGCCAGGGACTGGATTTACAGCTAAAATACTGCGCAGTCGGTTTGAAAAGTCAAGAGAAGTGTAGTGGTTTGGACATACTATAGGGAGCACTGAAGAAACAATGTAGTGACTGGTAAGAGGAGGAGAGTCATGGAAAGGGGGAGCCCCTCCGGAACAGGTGCTTGGCTGAGAGGCCGAGTGATGTGGGCTGCAAAGCTCCCTCCCCTTGGGAGTGAGGGTTCTCAACCCCAGGCAGAGAACCCAAACCCAGAGTAGCATAAACTGAAAGAAGAGCCCCCATAGCATTGGGCTGAGAGAACCAGGGGAATTCTGTCTGCCTGGGAGACCAGGACAGCACCTTCCCAGTGAAGGAGCTCTCCTCCTGTTAGTAGCCTGAGGCTGAGAAGTTCGCTCTGCACTCTGACTACTGGAAAGGCCACTCTGAGGAGTTTGGGTCCAGCAGAGGGGCCCTGGGCAGTACCCAGCAGTGACTGTGGGACCCTCTACTTTCTTGAAGGCATTGTGCAGAGCCCTAATTAGTAACTAAACTGTTTGGCTTGGGGAAAGGAGAAAGGGTTCTCCCACCTCAAGATTGGGCTTGGAATCTTTCCTCCCACCTCTCGATCTAATCATCCTGTGGGGTTAGCAGATAGGGGATTTTTGGCCCACAGTGCAGAAAGTTGAGAGCATGAGTGGAGCTCGGAATCTCAGTTCCACTTTGCTGAGACCAGCCATGTGGAGAGATCTGAATCCTTCACAGGGCTGATTTCATAACCCCTCCTGCTTGGACCTGTGGTGTGAGGGCACAGGTACTGCACAGAGCTGGGATTTTTGTATTGTCTCCCCTGGGAAGGCTTTTGTCAGGGAGACAGATGAGCAAGTGCTGGGCTTTCTGACTGCACTGTGGGGAAGCTGCTCCAAGCTCCCTTTGAGTTCAGCCAGCCAGTCCTGGGAAGGAGAGGTAGAGCCCACCTTGCCCTCCCGCAGTTTGGGAACACCACCCCCAACAGGAGACTGGTTCAGCTCTGTGAAGTCCTGGATACCCCTGCTGGGTGCAGTTCTTTGGGGGAAGGGAGAGCAGCTCAGAGCAGGACATTGCAAGTGTGAGACCCCCAAAGGCTACTGTCTGGGACCAGGAGGAAGTGCTTAGCCCACTTCTGGAGACTCTTTTGATCAATCCCACTGAGCCCAGGGCAGCTGAAACTGCTCCTACAGAGAAGATTGCAGACTGTACCCAACCTGAACCTGCAGCAGCCCACTTTAGGGGAAACAAGAGTTGTAGTCTCTGGTAGAGACTGAGAAGTTTGGCTTAGAAGCAGAGACTAATTTCCTCTCATTGAGCTCCTGATTGCATAATTTCTCTACAGGAGGCCCACTAGCCTGAGCTAGGTTAGCCTGGGTCCACCCTACTGGAGGAAGACCAGACAACATCATGGGGGAGGCAGGGTAGCTGATGGATAGAGGCTGACCTCAGGGAGCCTCAGATCAACCACAGATCTGCCCCCACTTCTAAGTTAAAGAAGCTGAACCCTTACACAGATTGGTCCCTCCTATGAACACACAGGTCTAGCAGAAGCAGACACAAACAGTGAATACAGGGTGGTAAAGGATTACCTCTATAGACACCCAGCCACTGAGCCCATCAGGACACCTTGAGACTGCACCTGCACAGCAGATTGCACACCATGGTTGGGGTTGAGGCTCATAGTCAATCAGCCAGAGAGTTTACTCCAACCGTGAAAGGGCAATCAGCAATCAAGATTCAGTTACAACAGGAAGGCCCAAAACAACCCACACAAGAGACATTTTTAGAGTCTCCAGCTTAGGAGATCAAGGAGACTGCACCACTGGGAGCCACAGGACACCTACACCACAAGATCACCCCAAGACTGGGAGTAATAGCAGTCCTTTCCAAACACATGGAAACAAACACAAAGAGACAGTCAAAATAGGGAGACAACTCCCAATGGAAAGAAAAGGAAGAAACTCCAGAAAAAGAGCTAAATGAAATGGAGACAAGCAATTTATCAGGGAATTCAAAGTAATGGCTATAAGGATGCTCAAGGAACCTAGTTAGAGCAACAATACCATGAAGAAGGACATAGAAATCATGAAAAATAGATGGAAATGAAAAATGTCATATCTGAAATACAGAACACACTGGAAGGAATTTCCAGTTGATTGGATGAGGCAGAAGATTGAATCAATGAATCAGAAGACAAATAGAAAAACACAATCAGAACAGAAAAAAGGCAAAATAATAAAAAAGGAGGATAGTTTAAGGGAACTTTGGGACAACACGAAACAACATTCACATCATAGGGATACCAGAAGAACAAGAAAGTGAGCAAAGGCTAGAGGACCTGTTTGAAGAAATAATGACAGAAAACTTCCCTAGTCTGCTAAAGGAAAATGTCACACAAGTTCAGGAAGCAGAGAGTCCCAAACAAAATAAACACAAAGAGACCTACACCAAGACACATCACAATTCAGAAGACCAAGATCAGACACAAAGAGAGAATCTTAAAGGCAGCAAGAGAGAAACAGTCAGTTACCTACAAGGGAGCTCCTATAAGGCTAGCAACTGATCTCTC